ACAGAGAATGGACTTTACAGTGAAGTAGGAGACATCTTGTGTCCAGCAGGAAAACTTTAGAAATGAACAACATTTCAGATATTCTGGGATTTTTATATATGAGGTAGAAGGAACATATGACTTTTAAAGGATTTTAATGTGGAAATAATACTTTTTTCTCATATAAAAAACATATCAGACACACATTGTTGTTCCAAGCACACTATTGTATATATGTCTTTATACACGTCTGGAGGGAATCTTTAAACATTTAAATTCCAAAATAGGTTGTTAGATACATATTTTTGAGTAATTTTAATGTTTATATGGATGTCCAATCAGTGTTGATGTAGCCAATTGAAGTACTACATTTCACAGTGGTGCTATATTTACCAAGAGAGCTGAGTTCACCTGCAGTGCCTACATGTACCAGGATCCATTGCATGCGAGCGTCTACAGCGCTGGTGCCGGAAGAAGAGCAGTTTTTGCAACTATTTTTTGGTCGGTTAACCATGTACTGCGGAATTTATTGTTTTGTTTCTACATTTACCATCAATATTGGACATCCACATAAAACATGGCACATTTTCAATTTTGAATGACTCAGTGTGCTCTGTTTCCAGCCAACAGTTCAGATAAGCTGTTTCCAAACTACAACTGAAGCTGAACTGCCAGCAGTCTGCTAAGAGTATTGGACGCTACGGTAGGTAGCATGTATAATCACTTACTACCTTACTAATCATTATAAGTGTATAAGCTGGTATAAAAGTGGATGGATAGCTGGGGATTGATATTAAAAACATCCTTCGAGGTGTAAATCAGAACTAGTGTGTGTTTGTTCCCACCACATCAAAGCCCATTTCCCTCAGACTGGGGGGAGGACATCAGCAGCTTTTCTTTCTTCAGATTCAGAAACTCTCACTGGACACACAAAGAACTCTCAATCTCTCTATTTCTTTCTTTCTGTCCCTCCCTCTCTCCCTCTCATGCCAGGGCAGAAAGGCTGGCATTGTTTTCTATAGAGCAGGCATGGATCACTCCTCACACATGAGGGAATCTTTTTTTTTTTTGATGGAGTTATGAAAGCGAGGGAAGGAGGGAGGGAGGCTCACCATTTAGTTGGAATGCAAAAATGTAGAAGCAGGGAGGGGAACTGGAAACCCTGCCAACAAGATGGTTAAAAAAAATGTAGGTGGGATGAATAATATAGATGATAGAAAGAGGGGGAAAAAAGGGGAAATGAAATGCAGATGTAGACAGGGTTATCTTTTTCAGTGCGCCAATCAATAGAATTGAAAACAGCACCAGCACAACACTCTTTGTTTGTCCATTAATGTATTATGTTTCAGTGTCTGGTGCATGCAAAAGATCTGTAGTTAAATTTCCCAAAATATTACTATATCACATATATTTATTCACATTATATACTGTGATAGATTTTAGCCACGGCCACCCCTATCCCACAATACATAGTGTGTCAAGTTATCAACAACTAATATACAACGTCCGAACTTAGAGTTTCAAAATAATAGTCTGCTGAGCAACATTTTAATGAAGTTGAACGGTTTGTACTTTGGCCTACGTTTAGGCACCAAAAACTACTTGGTTGTGCTTCCAGGCAAAGTAACATAACAAATGAACATTACTATATATATATATATCATATCATCTAACGTAACGTAACATAACGTAATTAAAAATAAGTCAGGAACATTAACAGTGGTCTCCTGGGTAAAAGCCCCCAACCACCATATGGACTTTCTCACTCTTTATACTACATCGCCTGACTTCTACGACACATTACATTACATCAGACAGACACGTCTGGAAATGACACTACCGGGGTTCCTATAGTGTCCCACTTTGAAGCGTAGGGCCACTGACCAAGCTGCCGTAACTGACATATGTTGGATGGTCAAACCAACCAGCAATTGGTATCATCATCCTTGGGACGCTGCTAATGGGGCAAATACTTACAGTATGTCAAGCTAAAAGTGTGAGTGAAGTCGGTTTACTAGTGGGTAATTATTCCACTTCCATGGCAACCAGTCAGAGTTACCGAATGCTTGTAATGAAAACACAGTATAGGCTCATTAAATGCAGTCTGTGCTTTACAATAGCCTGGTTTTATAGTAAAATAAAAGGGAAAAGAACAGGAAAGGGGAGGTTCTAGTGGGTGAAGTGTGTCTGTGGGTCTGTGTAGGGGAGGTTTGCCAGTCTCTCATCCAGCAGCAGTCACTCCACTAGGAGAAATAAACTGGTCATTTAAACAGGCTGGGGGTCATATCAGAGAATGTGGAAATAATCAGGAATGTGAAAACAAAAGGATGGGTCATTTTATACTCATCTGAGGAGAACATGCCTATCATGTTTGAATACTGTTCAGAAAATGTTTGTTGTCCACTCATCGTTGTTTAACCTACTTTTAGGACTTTCTAATTCTTACTCAGTGCCATTTTTCCATTGATGGGCCAAATTGTGTCTTTTCCCAGTTCACACATTTTGAACAGAAGTACAATTTACTTTTGTGAAATCTAAATATAGTGTATTCTGTAGAATCCCA